GTATTAGTGAAATTTTCTTCCATACGTTGGAAAGCTTAGGAAGACGAGAATTTAACATTGCCTCTTAGCTTCCCTTATTGGTTTGGAGTGCGCTGGTGATCGAAGTTGTGCTTTTTTGTCGGAACTAGTACAGTAAGGTAAGGCTTCGGTTGCATTTTATGCTGGTATTTTGTTAAATTTAAATATTACAACCATTCTTCAAAGATCTTTCAAAGCCCCTTGTACTAAATTATATGGAATATGATAATATGTATGTTATATGTCACCATATTAGGCATACTTTTTCAACTATGTGTTACAAACATTAAAATTAAATAAACACTAATTCAGGCAGAAATTAATACTTAATTCAATACAGACTATTGCCTATTATTAGCAACTATTGCTCCTACATGTGTTAGCAAGAACTTGGTCTTGTTGGCGTTCATTGTGTGCATTTAGTGATCCGTATATCAGCGGAAAAACTCTCTGCAACTATCTTTGCTTGGAAAATACCAATCCTTTCACCCTTACTTAATCATTCATACAGGCATGGATGAGAACCAGCAGCAAAGCAAAACAAACAAAAGTGCCGATGAGGTGCTAAGCTCCATTGTAAACATTTTCTTGGCAAATTATGCACTAGTTATAAAAAGGTACATGTTGTGCTTAATTTTTGTCCTCAGTATAAACATCATTTTCCTTTGGTTTTGTTAATGATACGAATGAAAAATGCATTTTGTGTAAAGAAAGATAAAATTTAGCTCCTAGCGTAAGTTATGATGAGGTGATGTGTCACACTCAATTTGGCCTCTATTTAAAGTAAAAGAATTAAACTGAGGATAAAACTAAACCACAGCATACCTATACTAAACCCTCATTTTATTTGTATCAATATTACTATTTTTTCTGGTGTTCACCCAAGAGATTCAATCCACTCACAGACAAAGATGGCACCCATGCATTTTACCATTACTCTTAGGCTAAGGCACTTGTAGAAAGCAATATTTCACAAAACAACAACATTATGTATGCAAGGTTCAAATTTTTCAGACCTTTACTGCTTGTTTTTATGAGTGGTTCCAGTATTTTCTTGCACAAAGAGTTCTGGTTGAATGTACCAGTCGCCATGTTTTTTGGCATGGTGGTTTTACAGTAATTGTTATATGAAGTAACCTTCACCAATATTAATTTTGTGAACTTGCCACTGACAAAGAGCTAGTTCATGATTAGATATTGATCGTTTCATTGATTGTTGTGCTCTACATTTATCATATCAAGTACTAATTAACTCCTCTGCCATCAGTACTTGCATTAAAGATACTGTGATAGAAATCACAGCACCATACCCCAAAATCTAATGTCATCCTCAGCACAATTTCATTTTTTGAGCAAGGCAAAGGTAAAAATCAAACAAGACCACACAGACGTCATCGCAGAGACAACATTGCTATGTATAATGTTTATATAGTTAGTTACGTAAAAGGTACTACATTCATTAATTCAGTGTCAATACTCTCCCTCGTAGCAGCTATAATTTTTAGCCAACTTGGGAAAAAGTGACCTAAAATAGACCCTTTTGGACATCCGAACTTTTCAATTTTCTGGGGAAGGTTCCCCAGACTTTGCCATCCAAGTGGGAATAAATGGCTGCCACACTGTCATTTTGGTCCCTCTCAGCTGTTCAAACGTTGTCCCTCCTTTCCACAATCTTACCAAAGCCGCCGTATGTGTAGTAATAAAAACATTGAAGTGAAGTGTTCTATCTAAGCAAGAGATGATAATCATGCACACTTTTAAGAGAGTCGCCCTAACAGATGCTTGGTGAGGTATTGCATTCTGTGCACAAAATCTAGTTCACGTAGACCTGGGAAAAAAGCAGTCATTCATGTCGGTTAATTGCTCCAAGCTCTAATTTGATAACACTGTTCATTTGGCTACCTTTTTGCCAATACTGTTTTGTTATTTGGGTTTTCTTGAAGACACTTCCCATTGAGAAGAAGCATTATATGTGTTTACAAATAAGAAGCAAAGAACAGTGGAAAAAAATAGGAGAGTAACAGGATGGTATCAAAGACAGTGGTACAATTTTTTTTTGCAGGGGGGTTGTTTTTTATTTTTGAATCAGAGTCTTAGCCTTAGTATGTCTAAGTTTCTACACTTGTTGTTTAGTTTTGTGATTTCTTGCTTTAAGAAGTGAGGTAAAATTGTTTGAATTTGTTTTTTCATTACAGCCACTCGAGTCTGTAAATGGAAAGAAAACACTGAAAAATGACAGTAAGGAACACATTGCTTGCACTATAAAGAATTGGAAGTAATTTGCAACTCTCCATATTTAACAAATAGAGAAGCCTTGACTGTGCTCTGTTCTGTTGTAAAGCACGCAGGAAGCGGCTAGAGCACGAGATTGCTACATGTAACATAAAAATTATCATGAGGCTGGTCATTGAAACACCGAGATCTGTCCTGTTTTTTAATTATGTAACATCTACTTTTGCATGTCCCAGGAAGGATTCATGTCTCATGAAGGCATGTCCCTGAAGGATTCAATGAATCCAGGTTAGTAGTTACTGGAACGCTTCACCCTGCCGTCACATGAAATCTACAGTATTTAGCCCAAAACTTGAACGCGATCTTTGAAGAATGGTTGTAATATTTAAATTTAACAAAATACTAGCATAAAATGCAACCGAAACGTTACCTTACTGTACTAGTTCCGACAAAAAAGCACAACTTCGATCATAAGCGCACTCCAAACCAATAAGGGAAGCTACGAGGGAATGTCAAATTCTCGTCTTCCTGAGCTTTCCAACGTATCGAAGAAAATTTCACTAATACTTCGCGCTTAAAAACGCAACCGGTTATTAATCTTTCACCAATCCGAAGTGTCCCAAAGGCATCAAGGATAGCCCATGAAACAAGAATAGCCCATGAAATTCTCAACCTTTACGATCGTCTCACAATTTAGCATTGCATCCCTCCCCTAGTTGGGAAGTGACACGCAGACACGTTCACAACGCACTTTGATTGGAAGAAATAAAACCGCATTCTATTGGTTATTAGGTGTGAGGACATAATTACAATGAAAGACACAACTGTAACCCTTCATCAGTTGACATTTCAGTATAATCCTGAATTTTTGGCGTGAGAGCGAAAACATAAAAAGACTTCCGACTCAAGGTTAGTTTAAAAACGTTCTGATGAGGACTGTCTTTTTGACAAATCTTGCTACGGTGGCAGGAAAGTACACCGACATAACGCTTTGTCCGCCATATTGGATTTCGAGGCCCACAACTGTTAACCTTTAACAAAGCTCTGGCTACTTAAAACCCTAAAGAAAACCCTGCCGTCATCTTTCACTCCGACGAAGAAAAACTAAAGGGGGTCATGTTTAGAATGTCAGTTTTGAAACTCTTTACCGTGGCCAAATACGTTATCAACTCGGTTGATAAAACACAATTTCCTTGATGTACAAACAATGACTGGCCTGTGGAGCCCTCTTTTTGGAGCAAGGCAGATTTCAGAGGATTGAGTTTAAATATTTAAAACCCTAAAGAAAACCCTGCCTTCATCTTTCACTCCGACGAAGAAAAACTAAAGGGGGTCATGTTTAGAATGTCAGTTTTGAAACTCTTTACCGTGGCCAAATACGTTATCAACTCGGTTGATAAAACACAATTTCCTTGATGTACAAACAATGACTGGCCTGTGGAGCCCTCTTTTTGGAGCAAGGCAGATTTCAGAGGATTGAGTTTAAATATTTTTTAAGGAGAAATTCCCCTCTTTTGTGTTTCATTGGATGCACACACATCATCAACATATACAATGTGAAAACGAGGCAATTTTGTAAAATTGACATGAATTGCATAGAATTACTTGCTATGGTATGATATGCATATGACATGTTGGTGAGGAAAATTAGATAACTTAGAGAACTTCACCTGAAAATAATACTTTTCAGTTTTGGATGCATCTTTTTTAATTAATCTTTGACCAATTGCAATGAAATAGGTTGCTGGAGACCATGCAGTGATATGCTAATGTTATTATTGAATTTTCAGTCATTCACAGTTTGAAGGAATAATCTGGTCCAAAACAGGATTGAACAAGGCCCTTTGACCCATCATGTCATTTAACGACTTTCCTGTGTATGTATGCCTTCATTTCAAGTCTTGATTTCAATTTTACAGAAAGCTTAGTCCAGTGAGGCCATTATTTTATTAGCTTCTTCAATTTGAAACGCAGAAAAAAGTGAAAAACAGAATGTGTATGAAATTTTATTGTGTTTTAAGGAAAATGTCAGCTAAGGGTGGGAAAACTAAACCATAAACACGGATGGTAACAAGTTTGAGATTTTGAGATTTGTTTGCAAACCCTGAACTTTATCATGATTGGTCAATATGGAATGGACCTGTTGAAATCAAATAAATTGAGCTAACCTTTTTTCTGAGCATTCAACAAATGTACACACACACAAATTCTCCTACACTGAAAACAGAATACTTTGAATCCTTACCAATAATTTCAGCTGAAATGATTTGTACATCATATCTTCTAAAATAAATGTGTTTGATCTTACACTAGTATTGTTCAACAAATATCTTTTTCACTCCTGTCAGACTTTCAATGTGAACAATTTGACCTTAATCAACTGGAAATTTGTTTGTTTGTTGGTTAGGTTGTTATTAGCTTAATGCTCAGGCATTTGATACAGACTTTGAATTTTCTATAACTAGTTTCAGCCTATTGATAGTTGAAGCGTGTTTTCCAGATGTTCTCTTGAACCCCAAATTTGTTTTGAAAACTTTGGAAAAAGGTGTGGCATATCTGCCAATGTTTACAGAACATGTTTATTTGATATGGTGAATTTTTACAGTTCCTGTTGAAACAATTAATTGTCCAGTTCTTAACCTGAATTATTTTGTGATTATTGTTACAACTTTCTTTTGGATTACTAATGATACTTTTAGTTCTGATTTTGTTGGCCTGAAGATAGAAAACAGCTCTAAATGTTATGAAAAATGGTTTCCTTTAGGTCTCAACAACTCATCCAAGGAATTCATAGTATAGGCTTTAATAAGCCCACAAAATTTCAAGAAATAGCTTCCTTCTTTCTCTTATCAAACCTGTAAGTATTGTCAAAACAAGTTTTGAAATAGTGTTAACTTGTTGTATTTCATAATGTGCTTGTTTCTTGTTTGTGGAAAATCAAAAAGACGTTTAGGAAAAAAAGAGATACATCCATTAATCAGATAATAACACATGGGCCAGTGTAGATATCAAACTTCTTTGCAAGTGTTCAACTCTATATATTATGATTGAGTGTAGCAAATGCAAAAGATATTGAGTGGAACACAAGAAGATAAACTTTATATCTACAAGCAAACTTGTTTTATTTTGTTTAATATATAAACACTGGAAGCCTTTATTGACAAGAAAAGTAGACTTAATCTATGGTAAACTCTCTGCCATTCCTTTAACAACCTGACAGGTCTGACAGAGTGGTGTGTCAGCAGCTAATTGGCAGTATCAAACATATGTAAAAAGTTATTTTAATTTTACACATGTGTAGTTGCCACTTCTCAGGGCTGGAAACCCTTGTGAAACGCCACAGTTCATATGATAAAATGAATTTTTGCACGTCCTGTTCAAATGATGCCTGATTGTACTTGTAAAGTCTGCCTGGTAAGATGGGCATGGTAAGATTTTCCATCATGATTCAATCAAGACTGAAGAGCTTACCCTACCTTCTATGCTTACCCTGCTTTCTGTGCCAGTTTTTATATTGCTCCCCTAAGCTGGGATACACTTATCAAGTGTATCAAGTCATCCCATGAAGAAAGATCATGACAACAACTTTTTCCTGATAAGTTTGAGTATTCTCATTACCTGTTTGCTGGATAGTGTATGAATATTATAGAGAGAAGTTGCATTATTGCCCCCGCAGGGTTTTTGGCCCCAGAGGGCCAAAAACCCGAATATTATAGAGGAAGACTGGAGAAGAGAGAATGTGCATAATAATAATAAGAAAAAATCTCGATTTGACGCCCCCATTAAGGCTTTGGTCATGGGCGCCAGCAAAAACAAATCATACAAGCTTATAAAAAAGCGTCGAGACAAGTCTAATTGTGTATAGCATCTTTCTGATTAAAGGTAGTAGTTTAAAAGGTGATCAAAATCCGTCAAAAGAGAAACAGTTGTGTGATACAAGGAGGGTTCAGTCAGCTGAGAACTTAAAGCAAAGAACTTGCAGCTTAATTAAAGTATAACCAGATATCAAATACATGAAAAAGTTGAGCTTTTAACTCGTTTGCTTTGATGTTGGATTATTCTCAGAGTTATAGAGTTTCATTTGTGTTATACAGAAGTTAATACAAAAATAATTTCACCAATGCTCAGAAGACGGTGTAAGATTAGCATTTTGACCGAAAGACTCGGTTAACTCCGATTTGTCAGCCGCAAATCAAGCTTATTGCACAAAGCCGAAAGACTCGACAATTTCTGGATTTGTCAGAGGCAAGTCTGCCACCTATAACATTCCAATTTCAAAACTCACCCAAGTCCCTACATTCTGCTTCTTCTTGATCGTGAAGAACAAACAAATCCTAAGTTAAACCACACAGCAAAAAAAAACATCCCAAGCACTTCCCAAAACTACATTTTGTACACTTGTAGTATTTTGAGATCCAAAATTACTAAAACCAAAGTACTTTCCGTAACAACATAACAGAAAAATTACACAACTGTAAACAACAAGCCCAACTCAAAAAAAAAAAACAATAGAAAATGGTACTGTAGGGCGGGGGCAGCTCTAGTGAGAACTATAACTAGTAATAATAATAATTGACACTCCCCCATTAAGGCTTTTCAGGGCCAATACAAACAAATTATAAATAGACATCTTATCACATAAACTGCAGTGTTATACAAGGATTTCCAGCCCTGAGAAAAGCTGTGACAACTTGCTTGAAAAAATATGGTATTTTTTCATGTGTTTTTGATGTCATCAATCTGCTGCTGACATGTCACTTGCCTTCTTAGCCACTTTGTCATGTTGATGCATGAATGACAAAGCCTTCACCATTCTTAATCCAAGTTTATTTCCTGGAACTTTTGTGGATTGTGGATGCTTAAACACTGAAAATGTTTTTTTGCTAACAAACAGTGATGTTCAAAATTTTCAAGGAGGGGAAGGAAATCAAAATATGTAAAGAAAAATCGAAAATTAGATAGTTAGTGGCCTTGCTTTGCAGCTGAGAACCAAAATGGATCAACAACTGGAAGATATGCCACAGGCCGATTTGGCCTTGTGCTTGAAAAGAGTTATTCTTTTGGCAAGGGAAAGTCAATAACTGAGGATTTTGTATTGAAAGTAATTCCCATTGTGTGTATTTGTAATGATTCAACACATTTTTCATCTTGAGCTTTATAGCCAACATGCTTTAGGCAGATATTTTTTTTTGCCAACTATGGATCCTCATTTTCCCATTCATTGATAAAGTCAACTTTTCTTGTCAGTAACAGGTGATTGTGTTTATAATAAACAAAATAATGCACAGTTGTTTGTAGATATGGAATTTCTCTTCTTGTTTTTCAACTAAATTTTTCACTCCTTTTCTGTGCTCACTCGTGAGCTATCAAGTAGACCACTCAAAGAGAAATTCCATATCTAAAGGTGCCCATGTATTTTCCCTATTTAATTAATGAAAGTTTAAAAATCCTAACTGGTCAGAGGCAGACCATTTGGCTATATGCAAAGCACAGCCAAAGAGTTGAATCCAACGAGTAGTAGGACGGAGGGCTGAAACCCAGAACCACAAGATTACAAGTCCAGCACCCTAACCACTTAGACACGCTGCCCCCTCAAAGTTTTTCCAGCATGCCACAGAAGTGTATTTCTTGCAAGGATTTGATAATTGCTTTGCATCATTTCTCTATTTTTTTTTTTTAAGGAGGTATAACATGATTGCTCAGTATCGCATAGGATCTGGAAGAACTGTTGGCTCTGTGTTGGCTATGCTAAACAGAGTTGATGTAACAAGGCACTACCCACAGGTAGGCAACCACATATTTCTATTATGGGCTACAATGCAGTTGTCTTATTAGGGGGGAGTTAACATTACAAGCTTATGATCATTAATCCCACTGGCCATCTCCTCCCTTTTGGATGTCAGTCACCCCCCTTAGTACAGATTTCTCTCTCTCCCCAGCCTTCAGCTGCTGTAATACTCACAACATGGCAGCAGTAGTTTTCACCAAGAAAATACTGAGGACTTGCTCACCAAAATTACACCTGTCTTGGTGATTTTAACAATACCATAGCAGTAATTTTCCAAATGAATAGTTAAAAGTTCTTGATTTTTCAGATGAAGGAAGATAATTATAAAATGATAAAAATTGCATTTTTTCACAGTTATGTTTTGCACGTGCTAATTGAAATTTTGTTGTCAAAATATATATTTGATATAAGTATAGGTGTGCAGTGGGTTAATAAAACTGAAGGTGAAAAAAATAATGATGTTGATGTAGCAGGTGTCATTTTTCATGGTTCCATATTGTTTGTTTTCAGGCAGTGTGTATATCACCAACACCTAACCTGGCATTACATAGGGGTGAAGTTGCCGAAAGCATGGGACAATTCATGCGAAACCTCAATATTGGTTATGCAGTAGGAGGAAGAAGGGGTGAGGAATTTTGCAAAAAAAAAAAACTGCTAACCCTTTACACCCTACATCAGTATGAAAATTCTCCCTACTGTTCTGTATACATTTTCTTAAGTGCTGAAAAGGAGAATTTGTTTAGCAATCAAAGGCTTCTTTAGTTGTTGATCATTTCCTTTATTCTTGTGACCTTAATGTGTGATCCAGGGGTGATACTGTAAGGAGAAATTAACTGCTCATCATTCTCAGGGGTCAAAGGGTTAACAGCCAAGAAATATTGAGTTATCAAGTGCTAATGAAACAAAAGAAGTCCAAGCAAGTCCAGCAAACCAAATTCTTACCAAATGTAAATCTGAAAAGAGCAACCTTTTTTACTGTTACATTTGTAACAGAACCATTCTTTTTTTTAGCAGTTCCAAGGGGCGAGAAAGTAACAGATCACATAATATTTGGAACACCTGGCACCCTCCTTGACTGGATTAGAAAACACAAAGTTCTGGATCCAAAGAAAATCGAGCTCTGCGTATTAGATCAAGCTGATGTCATGATTGCTCTACAGGGACACCAAGATCAGTCAATTAGAATACAAAAGTGAGTGTTAAGCTTCATATTTAAGGTGGATAAGATGGCTAAGTCTGCAAAACAGACTGACTTGCAAAGCTGCAAGAGTTTATAATGGTCATTACATAATAAGTGAAGTGACTTGAAGTATTGCTTCTGGAGCTGGAGTCCAGTGCACTAACATCTCACCACTTGTTAATGGGATTATGTATAGTGTAGATATTGTTCTCTTATTTTCCTTATCTCAGAATGTCCCCAAGAGCTTGATTAAGGTATTAAGTAATGTTCCTCTGTTTTCAAGGACTTTACGCAAAGACTGTCAAATGCTGTTCATCACCGAAACATACAATGACATGGTGAAAGAGTTCGCAAAGTCCGTCGTATCAAATGTAATGATGACTGAATCATATCATGAAGAGGAATGGTTGGACAACATTAAACATTTGTATGTTTGGTGCGAGAGTGATGAGGAGAAGTTTCAGGCCCTTTCAAACATATATGGAGTGGTGCCTATAGGACAGTGTGTTATGTTCTGTCAGGTAAGTACGGTTAACACTGTCAAACCTTATCCTCTTTTCTAGAACTGTGTCAACCAGTCAGTTACTCTAAATAGGTACAGCTGTATTTGCTGCTTGACAGGTTAAGGTTTTCATCAACAGTCCTGAGTCTTAGACAGTGTGCATAGTCAAACCATTTTACATTTTGAACAATGTGCTGCCCTTTGGACCAGAAGCCTAGCATGGGGTGTGAACTTTGGCAAAGAACAGTGCACATGTGTGAACTGTGATTCTGGGCCTTGACATCCTGTTGGATTATATTGTATTAGATGCATTTCTATGATGTTGATATTCTCAATGTACACATTTTCCCTTTGTCCAAAACAGGGTAGCAAAAGAAATAGATTTTGTTATGAGACAGGGAAAGGGTCTGAAGGCCTAAGGCATATCATCCTCAACATTCCAAGGATTTTAAGGGGACATTGCGTTGCCTGAGTTTGAGTTCAGATTTTAAGTGTGCCGCAAAGGCTGTACTTACTGAATTTTGACATTAACCAATTGATCCCTGAGAGTGACCAGCATCTAGATTCTCCTTACAATATTAACCCTGAATCACACATTAAGATTATGAGAAAAAAGGAAGTGATCACAAATTAAAGAAGCTCTTGATTGTTTATAAACCAAATCCCCTTGTTAGTGCTATAGAGAATGTAAGGTGAACAGTATGGAAAATAGGCATACTGGGTTTGGGTGTAAAGAGTTAAAAGAGGTGTTATTGTTTCAGACCACTTCTACAGTCTTATGGCTGTCAGAGAAAATGAGCTCGGATGGACACGCGGTGACACCGATACAGGACGGGATGACAGTTGACGAGAGGCTTGGAGCTGATGTGACATCTCGTAATGGCAGAGAGAGGCTGCTCATAACGACAGAAGACCTTACCTTAGAGGCTCCAGAGGTAAAGAACTAGCTTGTGTATGTGAGACACAAATACTGATAACAGGTGTGGTTGAGGGGGTCCTGTCTTTCTTCCTTTTCATCTATCGTAACTTAGGTGTTGGGTTTTTAATGGCTCATGTTTTACTTGAAGTGATTCAGGGATTGTCAGAATAACAAATAGGGTGTCAAGAAAAAGTATTCGTCTTAGTGACACAACGAATTGTGTTCCCATATGTCTGGAAGACTCTTGTGGAGAACGTCTTCCTGGAAAACATCTTCGAGCACATGCATTTATATCAGTTACACCCTTATGTGTAGAAATTAACTTGTAAGAGTGAAGGAAAGGTTAGCCAATACAGCGAGGGGCGGTGCTGCTGATAGCTGGTGTCAGTGATGCGTGCTTCTACGGGGTTTGTTTCATTTTTGAAACGTGTTTGTTTCATTTTTGCGTGAAGTTGAGGGGAAGGAGGTCTTTATCAAAAAGCTGTTAGTTGAATGATAAGATTTGGGTTTCTTTTGCAGATGACAATGGTGGTTAACTACAACATGCCAGTTGATCCCATAGGCGAACCAGACTTTGAAACGTACCGACGAAGGGCCCATCATACGGGCTGGTTGGACGGGAGTGGCATTGTAGTGAACTTAATTGACAGTCCGCAGTCTATGGAAACCATGTCGAGAATCGGGGGAATTTTAAGTATCAACATGAAACCTCTTGACATCAAGGATTTTGATGCACTGAAGAACCTTTAATGACAAGACATGTTTCTAGTGCTCAATTTCGTAGAAAAGATTGTGGTTCTTCATCGCGGTGAATAACAATAAAAGCTAAGTTTTTCTTTTGTCTCACGTTGTAGTCACGTGTGATGTAGTGTTAGGGGAAAAATTCATGTGTTTTAGTTCGGACAATGTTAGTTCAAGTTTTGTTTTGTTTCAATTCGAGTTTTGTTTTTCAAGTTTCAATTTATTTCTGGCCTCGAGTTTATTTTATCCGTCCTTTTAATTTTGAGATTCTTTTCGTCGTAGAAACAGATGGAATATTTAAGTAGTTTTCGTTTAACGTCAAAGAGACTTTTTGCTTAGGGTTAGCTGTCGAACCAAAAGGCTGTCTCATCCTTGACGTCAGCATAAGCTCGCTCGAAGTAGATCTCCGCGTGCCAGGAAATCGTGACAGGTTTCCGTTCTCGCCAGCCGAGTGGTCTCTACCGAGTTATTTTCCCCCGTTTTGTACGTTTCCCGCGAAGTCCAGTTTAGTGTGCGAAAACCCATTGTCACAGTAGATCGCGACGTTTCGACTGCACACTGCTAGTCTTCTTCAGGCGATGAGGTCGACTGGTTATGCGTGATCCTATAAGGCATGATGCTCTGCTGTGATTAGTTGTTTTTCAACAGCTCTGATTGATGCATTTCGATCTTTGCTGTTTCCCTCAGTGATTTGCTCTTTCGGCGGTCCGCTGTCGCACGGCTCTCCTGTTGTTGTGTTTTTTGATCATTGATTCCAGAAGACACATTTATTATACAGATATAATTGTCGTACAGCGTTTACCTTAGACAGGTCCTCCGGAATGAGTGTTTCGTTTTGGAATGAAAACCCCAATAAACTCATTTAGAAAGGACTCGTTTCGAATAAATTTTACTCTGGTATCATATGGCAACCGATATGAACTCGTTCTTGTACAAAACTCATTCTGATATCACGTAAAAGGCCCATAAAAGTCTTCATTACCAGAGCATCACGCTTTGCTCTCCTGCCTGAATACTATACATTTCAATAGCGTTGAAGCAACAACCCGCTCTTAACTGCTTCGCTGCCACTGACACAACGATTAGTGACCACAAAAAGCACATATTCTAATACTTTCAATTCAACATAAGCAAAAATCTTTACACAAGGTAAATATTCATTTGTGTCGGTATCAATTATTGCGTGACTAGCTTATGACATAAATGGGGGAGGGGAAAACACAGCGCAAAACCTGGGCTCCTGTAAAAGAGTAATATCCAGGCGTAATATAATAATTGAAAACAGCTAATAAAATCATAAATAAACAAAGTAAGAGTTTTATGTTAGATTTTTTTAACAAATTGTAGTTATTTTATGCCAGTAAACGGTGGCGACAAGTAGGCACATGTATATTTCATAGTCGCTAGCAAGTAAATTTTGCCTGACTTTGAGTTCGTCTCACGATAGAACAACACAAATACACAAGGAAATTTTTACAGTAACTTTATAACCATCCTTTTGTCTTTTAAAAGTTTGAAGCTCAATAGATTCTTTCATATCGGTCATTGTTAAAACCGTCTTTGTTTTAATACTACTTTTCGACATAGGGAAAGTATGTCGGACAAAAATATTCACCAAAAAATAAATATTTCTTTGCAAGCTTCAATAATGACAGGGGATTGAGTTTAGATGATAAAACAAAGGATTATGTTGACAGAAATACCGGAGGTCAAGTATACTCGTTACATGAGTTCACAACTCGGGTAATATTCAAAGTGAAAATTTGCATATTTGAGCGGTCGAACGAAAAAAATCATTTCTCGAAAACTAAAACATATTTTCACAAAAAAACTACATCACAATTATTAGGACATATTAGGCTACGAAATATGAAAGTAGGAGTGAAAGAAAATTTTGGGTGACTTGCCGCTGTTTGTCTGATGCATGCTGACATTACCTCTTAATATTTTGTTTTGGTATAGTCAATAAAAGTTATTACAATGAAATTTCCTGATGGCTTTATATAATAGTAATAAACGACATTAAATTTGTGAGCAGAAAATGTGGTGACTCTAGATGTCTTTTTCTTTCTAGATGTTAACCTTGGTCATATTTAGAAGGAAAAACACTTGATAATTGTAAGAGTAATAATCGATCATTCAACTGTTGCTACAAGTCTTTTTAAAGAGATCACTAACTAGCAGAATGTAGACAGTTTATGAGGTATGGGCATGTGTTGCATCTGCCTAGGGGCTTATCAAAAAACTTGAATTTGTCGAATACTGCATCTGAATTGGAATTCCTTCTTCCGTCAAAGTGATTGTCTGAATCTAGCCTGGCTTCTCACAAAGATTAGGCCTCGGGCGGTATTCAATACCTCGGGCACAGTTTTTCCCAATACGGACCGACAACGCTGGTGAAACACAATATTATTTTTTTCTAACACTTAACAAAATGCATACCAAAGGCATTTTTATATTTATCTTTGATTGGATTGTTACATTTGAAACTCGGCCACTTTATAACTCTTTCATCGGATTGTTACATCAGTATCTCGCGCACTTTTAGTTTTCTTTTTGTTTGGGGTGTAATCTTAGGATCTGGTGCACCTTCATAATTCTTTTCAATGGGATTGTTACGTTAGTTTCTTGCGCACCGGTGAATTCTTCTTGATTGAATTGTTAAGTTATTATCTCGCCTACTTTAAGAAATCTCTTTGATCGGATTGTTACGCTAGTATCTTGCCCACCTGACGCACCTTTGGACTGAGTTCTCTTTGATTGGATTGTTACGTTAGTATCTTGCGCACCTAGAATTCCCTTTGATTGGATCGGTGCTTCAGTATCCCGCTCACTTTTGCAATTCCCCTTCATTGAATTGTTACGTTAGTATCTCACGTTAAAATCTCGCGCAATTTTAGAATTCTCTTCTATAGGATTGATGAGCTGTTATCTCGCGTACTTTTAGTTTTCTTTTTGATTGGATCGTAACGTTAGTACTATGATCTCCGCACTTTTGAATTCTCTTTAATGGGATTGTTACATTAGGATCTCGTCCACTTTATAATTCTCTCTCATTAGATGGTTACACCAGTATCTCGCGCACTTTTAGTTTTCTTTTTTGTTGGATTGTAAAGTTAGTATTTGGCGCACCATCAGAATTCTCTTCGATTGAATCGTTACGACAGTATCCCGCCCACTTTTGCAAGTTCCTTTTATTGGATTGTTACGTAAGTATCTCACGCGCGTTTAGGATTCTCTTTCATTGGACTTTTGCGATAGTATCTTGCGCACTTTTGGAACCTTCTTTCATTATATTTTTACGTTAGTATCTTATGCAATTTTAGAATTTCCTTTCATTGGACTGTTATGCGACTAGCTCCTGCATTTTTGAGTTATTCTTTTTATTTAAAAAAAATACATCTATGTTAGCGTACAGAGAGTGGTATGTTGCTCGCACCAATCTGATCGTTTAGGGTATGTATCTCGCACCAATCAGAAATATTCCAAAATAGTGCAAATCGTGAAAGCTGATCGCGGAAAAGCGATTGCGTGACGCTCGGTAAGTTGCAAGATGACATGTTAGCATAAACCAGACGAAAAAACTGTTTGGATTCTCAGTCTGCATTTTGAACCCAGCCTGCAGTCTACATTTTGTACCTAATCTACATTTTTTATCTGGTCCGCAGTCTGCATCTCTACTGCTAGAAGTGTGCTTTCATCCTGCTTTGATTGCAAACGACGACGAAGTCCTGTTTCTGCTTCGGCCTCGAGTTACACCAGATCAAATCCCCTTTGCGTGCGTGGGGATAGATTGTTTTGGTCCCTTTCTTGTTCGTCAAAAGAGGAGCATGGTCAAACGTTATTGTGCAATCTTAATTTTTTTGGCATTGCGAGCTGTTCATCTGAAGGTGTGTCACTCATTCGACACTAACTCTTTCATTCTCGCACTCAGACGTTTTATCGCTCGTAGAGGTCAAGTTAAAGAAATTCGCTCCGACAATGGTTCAAATTTCGTAGGAGGTGAAAGGGAGCTTCGTTTCATGATTGAAAGCTGGAATCAAGCTAAAATTCATGACGCCTTTCTGCAGAAAAGCATCAAATGGGTTTTTAACCCACCCGGAGCCTTGCATCGTGGTGGTGTCTGGGAGAGGCTAACTAGATCTACACGAAAGGTTCTGGGTGCCCTGGTTAAAGAACAAAGTCTTGATGATGAGAGTCTTCAGACCTTGTTGTGTGAATGTGAGAACATTATCAATGGAAGACCTCTGACCACAGTTTCTGACGATCCAAAGGATTTGGAACCACTATCATCAAACCACCTTCTTCTGCTTCGCAGTGAGACACCTCTTCCTCCAGGCTTGTTTCTTAAAGAGCGACACGTACTCGAGGAGAAGATGGCGGCAAGTACAATATTTGGCTGATGTTTTCTGGGGTCGCTGGAAGAGAGAATATCTCCCTCTGTTACAATCACGTCAGAAATGGTTTCGACCAAAGAAAAACTTTGCCGTGGGGGACACTGTTATCGTGGTTGACGAATCTTTGCCAAGGAATGCGTGCGCAATCGGTCGGATTACAGAGGTCTTTCCTGACAAATATGGATTTGTCCGCCATGCCAAGGTTAAAACCAAGACATCAACTTTGGAGAGCCCTATCAGTAAGCTGTGTCTTCTGGAATCAATGATCAAAAAACACAACAACAGGAGAGCCGTGCGACAGCGGACCGCCAAGGGAGCAAATCACTGAGGGAAACAGCAAAGATCGAAATGCATTAATCACAGCTGTTGAAAAACCAACTAATCACAACAGATCATCATGCTTTATAAGATCACGCATAACCAGTCGACTTCATCGCCTGAAGAAGACTAGCAGTGTGCAGTGGAAACGTCGCGATCTACTGTGACGATAGGTTTTCGCGCACTAAACTGGACTTCGCGGGAAACGTACAAAACGTCAAGGATGAGACAGCGTTTTGGTTCCACAGCAGACTTTATTCGTAGAGCACTCTAACATACCTCATGTCATAGTCA